TGGTTAAAAATTTGTGTATTTTTGGATGTTATATAAGACTTCTGGGGGGATTTTTTTATCATGGTTATAGTAAATTCAACAGATTTTGTCACTGTTTTGTATTTGCTGTTGCAAATCAGGGTTTAGTGTCTACCATATTTTTCAGGGCTGGCATAACTTGTCCCCTAAGTGTCAGCCTCTTAATAGGCTTGCTTATTAAAAGAACATCTGCTTCCCAAGTATTCTGGCTCATCGCTTGAGAATTCCATCTTAGTTCTTAATTCTCTGTGTGGTTGCTTCTAAGATTTTGAAGATATACCTGTGTTGGTTTGTCCAGGCCTTTGGTTGCTTAAAATACAGCAGTAAATATATGAAAAGTTCACTTTAACACAAGTGAAAAGATAAAGGAGTATCCACACTTGGGGGACCTGTGTGGTAATGGGGAAATTAAGTTTTAACGTCAGGATGAATTAGGCTTGTTGCTTGGCCAAAATGGTGACTATGTAGATATAGAGTTCTGTGGAGGAAGAAATGAGACTTTTGGGTGACTGTCAGTATTTTCTTTCTGGGATAGCGTACTATGGAAAGCTAAATTGAAATGTCCTATTTCTGGGCTTTATAAATTACTCTGTGTACAAAACGCTCCCAAAATGGGTGTGAGAGCTGTTTGTGAGAATGTCAGGTGCAGATTATTGGATCATGATGGAAAACGAACATTAACAACAGAGGAAGAAAGGTGATGATATTCTATTCAAACCACAGTCATAATCCCCTGATAACTATGGCCAAAATTCAGACTAGAATAGAAGAACTGGGGCATGGAAGGCAGTAATTACCTGAGCAGCTTTCACACCTGCTGCTCCTATATATCAACCATGTGGCAGGTGCTGCAGGCCACATGGTGCTAGTGAACATTTGGGAAAACAAATAAGTTTGGAGGGGAGGAATGTCTGCATTGTACTGTACAAATTCATTCCACTCTATTTGGCAATATCAAGAGGTAGGTTGCAAGATATAATCATACATAGAATTTATTAAACCCCACTATGGCTTCACAAGATGCCTCTTGTGGTATTATTTACATAGCGGCAATGTTGTGACAGCAGAGGTTCTCTGACACATTTACTGTGGGAATGCCCTGTGGCACAGCTCTTAATTAGAATTAGCCTTGCAGCAGCAGCTTCCCCTTAGGTTGAAGTTAATCATTAAAGGAGACATTTGTCACTTACTGTCTTTGAGCAGTCGGGAAGATTCAAGAATTGCTTTGGCTACTAAGAAAATCCTTCTCAACATGTGGAAAAAATACTAAGATCCTGTATGAGATTTGGTGGAGCAGTGCTCTCCTGGCTGTTGCTAAATTTGAGATGGCATCCTTAATCAGGTGAGTAAATTTGACATGTCCAAGCAGATTTGGCATTCAGTTTTAAGCAGATTTGTAGTTAACAATTTAGGTTAGAAATATCCAGTGTCTCTCATGATGTTTTATAAGTTATAGTGCTGGAGCCCATTTAAAACTTTAATTTTCTTTTTAGTTTCTAGTCTGACTCTGAGGATGGCCTGCTTATATGTTATTGTTTTCAGAATTCTCTGTGAGGTGGTACACTATACAATGTAGTTCACTGTGATGTAAGTTTGACCTTCATTTATGGGTTCTGTCTGGGTATGTCCATGTTTGTCTATGTGTGGTGGTGTTTCTCCTCCCGTTTGTTTGAGGATGTCTGATATGGACTTCATCTCTTTACCACTGTACAATATAACTTGAAGTTTGTGGTGGCTGGGCCTTACAAATCGTGGTCCCAGTGTAAGAATGGTGTTGGTTAAGGTGAAACCAAACTGTACCCTTGTAATCTTGTCTGTTTATGTTTGTTGTTCTAAATCTTTTCAGTCTAATTTATAAAACATATTCAATAAATTGGAGGCCAAAAGATAGATAAATATTTTCTATAAAATGAGTAACACATCAAAAAGCAATGGGCTTAATTTGCAGCAAGGGAGATTTAGGTTCGATATTATGAAAGACTTTCTATCTGGAATTGTCTGCCAAGGGAGGTTGTGGAATGCCCATCATTGGAGGTTTTTAAGAACAGGTTGGACAAACACCTTTCAGGGATGGGTTAGATATACTTGGTCCTGTTTTAGTGCAGGGAGCTGACTTGATGAACGCTCAAGGTTCCTTCCAGTCCTACATTTCTATGATTCGATGACCCCAGTTGTCTCAAGTGCTTGCTTAATGCTTTTATGAAGCTGAGTGTCTTTATTGAGAGGGGGTTGAGGGCACTCAGCAGCCTTTAAAGGTTGGGACTTCGCTTTGGAGATGCCTAGGTATTGCATAAAAATTGGAACATTGCTTGCAATATTTCACAAAGAACAAAATTCACTGTAGTTTTTAACCATTTTTCCTCTTTTCTGCTGGACCAGTAAGTAACACAAGTGCAGTGATACAACTAGTGATGTAAAATGAACACTGTTAAAAAAGGTTTCAGAGTAACAGCCGTGTTAGTCTGTATTCACAAAAAGAAAAGGAGTACTTGTGGCACCTTAGAGACTAACCAATTTATTTGAGCATAAGCTTATTTGAGCATCCGATAAAGTGAGCTGTAGCTCACGAAAGCTTATGCTCAAATAAATTGGTTAGCCTCTAAGGTGCCACAAGTACTCCTTTTCTTCTTACTGTTAAAAAATGAGCTGATACTTAATTTTTTTTCTGTTCTCAGTCAAAAATAACTCTTGTTCAGTAACATAGGGTGGGTGATAGACTAGCTCACAGAAAAAGATACATTTGTTAAGTCAGTGACTATTCTGTTTTCTCCTTGAGGCAATCTGTAATATCATTAAGACACATGTATCTTTCAAAGCTTTCAGCAGACTTCTTTGAAAGCTTGGGTGCTTTATAAGAAGAGTAAATTGCCAAAAGCAAGTCCCTTAATGTTAGATGAAGTCCTTGGCAATTACATGAGGTGAAGAAACATCGCAAAGAGCTTGGGTCAGAGCTGCCTTTGTGAAGACCACTATCTTGCAACACTGTAAAGTCCTCTTTTAATTTCATTATTAAAGGAAAAGAGAGATTCAAATTATTGCATCCAATTACCAAGAAGAGCTGATTAATTTTTGTGTGTCTTAATATAATAGAAAAAGAATAGTTATAAACAGGAGCCTACCAACCTAAGAGTTTGGGGCTGTAAATTTTATGTCACAAAGAATGCAGATCACCATATGAATGCATAAGAAAGGCAAGAGACTGTCAGGGCCAGCTTTCCAGTGGCTAGAGGAATGTAGCACTGCCAAACTGAATCAGCCCATTAGATGATCCAGTCTGTTACTCTGTCTCTGACGGTGGCCACTACCAGATGCTTAAGGAACATGTTCAAGATCCCATAATGGGTAATTATGGTATAATCTGTCCAGAGGGGACATGTCTTCTTCACTCAAAGCAATTAGTTATTGGCTTACGCTGTGAGGCTCACAGTTTATATCTCTTCTAATTGTTTTAGTCTGTCCAATATTACTGTGGGTGATCTGATTTTGTGTGAAGATATGCAAATTTGTGGAGTCCTGAGATCTTTTGCTTCTTTGATATCTTGTGTCAGTGTGTTCCACAGGTTAATTATGGAATGTGAAATAAACTATAATGAATACCATGCTAGGTGAGGTGCTATCATGTCAGCAATATTGTCTATGCAGTTTATTACATCTTTATATTTGATTTGCTGTTTTGACCACTACTGCCCATTGTTAAAATGTTTTCACTGAGCTGCTCACAGTTACTCCCAGGTCTTTTTCCTCTTGTTGAGTATATTTTACACTTCACATGTGAACCGCATGTTGGGTAAAGGAGGTCTAGTCACATTTTTGCTGTTAAACTGCAGATTTATGTAAAATAAATATTTAGATAAACTCCGCCATTTCAAACTTCTGCAGTCAGTGCTGTAGTCGAGGTTAAACTAAATTTTACCTACTTTTCATTTGAGACATATAGAGTTTAGATTAGTTTACCTGCTTCTTTTCTGGCCACAACATCACTGTCTGTAGTAAAACATTCTGGAGTCAAATCTCTGTAGCAAAATTAAAATTAGGTCATGCAACCAGACTACTTTAAACTAAAAATCCTTTTCAAGGAACATTTGTGATTCAAATTGGAATAGTACCTCATTAAAATTGCAGCATACTGGTACCAGCAGGTTTATTTTATTTTTCTTTACTATCTTTTCCTGTCCAGTTTCAAGCTGATTTTCTGGCTCTGCTTCTCTATACAGCCATTCTGTCAAGGGAAAGTGAGAAGGTGACTACATGACTAACTGTACATATTTATTTTTTTTCTTACATTGCCTTCCTGCACTTTGCTGCTTGATTATCTGTCATTGGTTGGTCTATGAAGCAGAGAGAACTGAGAAGGCTGAGGAAGGGGAAACAAAAAAGGGACTAGGGGATTTAGCCACACAATTCCCTTTAATTCATCTTTGTGAGGTGCTCAGGTACTGTGGTGATGAGTCATATCAAAACCAGTAAATAATAGTGAAGAACTCTAGATGATAATGCATGTCAATCATATAACACAAGACCTATTTGTACTGCAGAAAGGGCCTTTCTGCCTCTTTAAATTTGCTCCGCCCCATTTTTAAAATGTTTATAGTGAGGGTAGTGAATTGTTGTAACAAGGTACGTAGGGATGTGGTGGAGTGTCTATCACTTAAAGGGTTTAATCAAGATTGGATGTCTTCCTGACAGATATTCTCTAGCTCAGCCAGAAGTTATGGGCTTGATGCAGGGACCACTTGGTGAAATTTCATGGTTTGTGTTATACAGGGGGCCAGATAAGGTGATCATAATGGTCCTTTCTGGCCTTAAATTCTGTGGGTGACACCCGGCCCCTTTGAAGTTAATGTCAAAACTCCAATACTGCAAAAACTGATCGTTACATTCCACTTATACGAAAAATGTAGTATAGCAATAGCAAATTGCAGCCAGAGGCTGCTTATGTACAATGGTGTGCTGACTCTCTTACCCCTGGTCTACACTAGGACTTTAGGTCGAATTTAGCAGCGTTAAATCAATGTAAACCTGCACCCGTCCACACAATGAAGCCCTTTATTTCGACTTAAAGGGCTCTTAAAATCGATTTCCTTACTCCACCCCTGACAAGTGGATTAGCGCTTAAATCGACGTTGCCGGCTCGAATTTGGGGTACTGTGGACACAATTCGATGGTATTGGCCTTCGGGAGCTATCCCAGAGTGCACCATTATGACCGCTCTGGACAGCACTCTCAACTCAGATGCACTGGCCAGGTAGACAGGAAAAGAACCGCGAACTTTTGAATCTCATTTCCTGTTTGGCCAGCATGGCAAGCTGCAGGTGACCATGCAGAGCTCATCAGCACAGGTGACCATGATGGAGTCCCAGAATCGCAAAAGAGCTCCAGCATGGACCGAACGGGAGGTATGGGATCTGATCGCTGTTTGGGGAGAGGAATCCGTGCTATCAGAACTCCGTTCCAGTTTTCGAAATGCCAAAACCTTTCTGAAAATCTCCCAGGGCATGAAGGACAGAGGCCATAACAGGGACCCGAAGCAGTGCCGCGTGAAACTGAAGGAGCTGAGGCAAGCCTACCAGAAAACCAGAGAGGCGAACAGCTGCTCTGGGTCAGAGCCCCAAACATGCCGCTTCTATGATGAGCTGCATGCCATTTTAGGGGGTTCAGCCACCACTACCCCAGCCATGTTGTTTGACTCCTTCAATGGAGATGGAGGCAATACGGAAGCAGGTTTTGGGGATGAAGAAGATGATGATGATGAGGAGGTTGTAGATAGCTCACAGCAAGCAAGCGGAGAAACCGGTTTTCCCGATAGCCAGGAACTGTTTCTCACCCTAGACCTGGAGCCAGTACCCCCCGAACCCACCCAAGGCTGCCTCCTGGACCCAGCAGGCGGAGAAGGGACCTCTGGTGAGTGTACCTTTTAAAATACTATACATGGTTTAAAAGCAAGCATGTGAAAGGATTACTTTGCCCTGGCATTTGCGGTTCTCCTAGATGTAGTCCTAAAGCCTTTGCAAAAGGTTTCTGGGGAGGGCAGCCTTATTGCGTCCTTCATGGTAGGACACTTTACCACTCCAGGCCAGTAACACGTACTCGGGAATCATTGTAGAACAAAGCATTGCAGTGTATGTTTGCTGGCATTCAAACAACATCCGTTCTTTATCTCTCTGTGTTATCCTCAGGAGAGTGAGATATAATTCATGGTCACCTGGTTGAAACAGAGTGCTTTTCTTCAGGGGACACTCAGAGGAGCCCATTCCTGCTGGGCTGTTTGCCTGTGGCTAAACAGAAATGTTCCCCGCTGTTAGCCACAGGGAGGGGGGAAGGTTGAGGGGGTAGTCACGCGGTGGGAGGAGGCAAAATGCGACCTTGTAACGAAAGCACATGTGCTATGTATGTAATGTTAACAGCAAGGTTTACCCTGAAAGAGTGTACCCACTGTTTTATAAAATGTGTCTTTTTAAATACCGCTGTCCCTTTTTTTTTCTCCACCAGCTGCATGTGTTTCAATGATCACAGGATCTTCTCCTTCCCAGAGGCTAGTGAAGCTTAGAAAGAAAAAAAAAAAACGCACTCGCGATGAAATGTTCTCCGAGCTCATGCTGTCCTCCCACACTGACAGAGCACAGACGAATGCGTGGAGGCAAATAATGTCAGAGTGCAGGAAAGCACAAAATGACCGGGAGGAGAGGTGGCGGGCTGAAGAGAGTAAGTGGCGGGCTGAAGAGAGTAAGTGGCGGGCTGAAGACGGGGCTCAAGCTCAAATGTGGCGGCAGCGTGATGAGAGGAGGCAGGATTCAATGCTGAGGCTGCTGCAGGACCAAACCAGTATGCTCCAGTGTATGGTTGAGCTGCAGCAAAGGCAGCTGGAGCACAGACTGCCACTGCTGCCCCTCTGTAACCAACCGCCCTCCTCCCCAAGTTCCATAGCCTCCACACCCAGACGCCCAAGAACGCGGTGGGGGGGCCTCCGGCCAACCAGCCACTCCACCACAGAGGATTGCCCAAAAAAAAGAAGGCTGTCATTCAATAAATTTTAAAGTTGTAAACTTTTAAAGTGCTGTGCTTAAAGTGCTGTGTGGCATTTTCCTTCCCTCCTCCACCACCCCTCCTGGGCTACCTTGGTAGTCATCCCCCTATTTGTGTGATGAATGAATAAAGAATGCATGAATGTGAAGCAACAATGACTTTATTGCCTCTGCAAGCGGTGATTGAAGGGAGGAGGGGCGGGTGGTTAGCTTACAGGGAAGTAGAGTGAACCAAGGGGCGGGGGGGTTTCATCAAGGAGAAACAAACAGAACTTTCACACCGTAGCCTGGCCAGTCATGAAACTGGTTTTCAAAGCTTCTCTGATGCGTACCGCGCCCTCCTGTGCTCTTCTAACCGCCCTGGTGTCTGGCTGCGCATAACCAGCAGCCAGGCGATTTGCCTCAACCTCCCACCCCGCCATAAACGTCTCCCCCTTACTCTCACAGATATTGTGGAGCACACAGCAAGCAGTAATAACAGTGGGAATATTGGTTTCGCTGAGGTCTAAGCGAGTCAGTAAACTGCGCCAGCGCGCCTTTAAACGTCCAAATGCACATTCTACCACCATTCTGCACTTGCTCAGCCTGTAGTTGAACAGCTCCTGACTACTGTCCAGGCTGCCTGTGTACGGCTTCATGAGCCATGGCATTAAGGGGTAGGCTGGGTCCCCAAGGATACATATAGGCATTTCAACATCCCCAACAGTTATTTTCTGGTCTGGGAATAAAGTCCCTTCCTGCAGCTTTTGAAACAGACCAGAGTTCCTGAAGATGCGAGCATCATGCACCTTTCCCGGCCATCCCACGTTGATGTTGGTGAAACGTCCCTTGTGATCCACCAGAGCTTGCAGCACTATCGAAAAGTACCCCTTGCGGTTTATGTACTCGGCGGCTTGGTGCTCCAGTGCCAAGATAGGGATATGGGTTCAGTCTATAGCCCCACCACAGTTAGGGAATCCCATTGCAGCAAAGCCATCCACTATGACCTGCACATTTCCCAGGGTCACTACCCTTGATATCAGCAGATCTTTGATTGCGTGGGCTACTTGCATCACAGCAGCCCCCACAGTAGATTTGCCCACTCCAAATTGATTCCCAACTGACCGGTAGCTGTCTGGCGTTGCAAGCTTCCACAGGGCTATCGCCACTCGCTTCTCAACTGTGAGGGCTGCTCTCATCTTGGTATGCATGTGCCTCAGGGCAGGGGAAAGCAAGTCACAAAGTTCCATGAAAGTGCCCTTACGCATGCGAAAGTTTCGCAGCCACTGGGAATCGTCCCAGACCTGCAACACTATGCGGTCCCACCAGTCTGTGCTTGTTTCCCGAGCCCAGAATCGGCGTTCCACAGCATGAACCTGCCCCATTAGCACCATGATGCATGCATTGGCAGGGCCCATGCTTTCAGAGAAATCTGTGTCCATGTCCTGATCACTCACGTGACCGCGCTGACGTCACCTCCTCGCCCGGTATCGCTTTGCCAGGTTCTGGTGCTGCATATACTGCTGGATAATGCGTGTGGTGTTTAATGTGCTCCTAATTGCCAAAGTGAGCTGAGTGGCCTCCATGCTTGCCTTGGTATGGCGTCCGCACAGAAAAAAGGCGCAGAACGATTGTCTGCCATTGCTCTGATGGAGGGAGGGGCGACTGACGACACGGCTTACAGGGTTGGCTTCAGGAAGCTAAAATCAACAAAGGGGATGCCTGTACATCAAGGAGTATTTCAGGCAGGACTGCACGGAGGGTTCCAATAAGAAATGGTGCACCTAAGTTATCGTTGTTATTGGAACCAAGGAGGTTAGCCTGGCCTCTGATTGATACATGGCTAGATTTACCTCGCTGCACCTTCTCTGTGAATGACTGCAGTGTGATCTAGAGGAATGAGTCCCCTAGACAGGGGAGGAGGCAAATGAGTACAAAACAAATCTGGTCTATTTCTTGTTCTGAGCCACTCCATCTATCTTTTACATCTTTGGCTGGCAGCAGACGGTGCAGAAGGACTGCATGCCATCCGCATCTCATGGCTGCTCGGCAGAAGATGGTACAGTACGACTGCTAGCCATCTTCATCTCTTGCCTGCCTGGCAGAAGATGGTACAGTACGACTGCTAGCAGTCAGTATTGCCTGCCCGCTCACCATAAGACGGTTCAATAGGACTGACTGCAGGACTAAAGAGAATGACCTGGTCAAGTCACTCCAAATTTAGTCCCTGCGCCCATGTCTGCCCAGGCGCTCCCAGCCGACGTGGCCAGGAGCACCTCGGACACGACGAGGACGACTACCAGTCGTATTGCACCGTCTGCTGCCAGAAGGCAATGGGTTGCTGCTACTGTGCAGCAAAGCCATACCGCGTCTGCCAGCACCCAGGAGACATAGGGTGACGGTTACCTGAGCGGGCTCCATGCTTGCCGTGGTATGGCGTCTGCACAGGTAACTCAGGAAAAAAGGCGCGAAATGATTGTCTGCCCTTGCTTTCACGGAGGGAGGGAGGGAACGGGGGCCTGACGATATGTACCCAGAACCACCCGTGACAATGTTTTAGCCCCATCAGGCATTGGGATCTCAACCCAGAATTCCAATGGGCATCGGAGACTGCGGGAACTGTGGGATAGCTACCCACAGTGCAACACTCCGGAAGTCGACTCTAGCCTCGGTACTGTGGAAGCGCTCCGCCGAGTTAATGCACTTAATGCACTTAGAGCATTTTCTGTGGGGACGCGCACACTCGAATATATAAAACCGATTTCTAAAAAACCGACTTCTATAAATTCGACCTTATTCCGTAGTGTAGACATACCCTTAGCTTTCATTTTCCTTCCCTTGCATGTGCAGACTCCAAGGCAACATTTCAATAGGTCTTCACAGAAGGCATTTCATGTCAAGTTATTAAGTTTAATTTTTCATTTTAACAAACTGCAATATTTGATGGTTTCATAATGAAAAGTATATGATACTGTATTGTACTTTGCAGCTTGGAAAAGAGGTGACTAAGGGGGATATGATAGAGGTCTATAAAATCGTGACTGGTATGAAGAAAGTAAATAAGGAAGTGTCATTTACTTCTCATAACTGAAGAACTAGGGATCACCAAATGAAATTAATGGACAGCAGGTTTAAAACGAACAAAAGGAAGTGTTTCTTCACAAAGCACGCAGTCAACCTGTGGAATTCATTGCCAGAGGATGTGTGAAGGCCAAGACTATAACAGGGTTCAAAAAAAGAACTGGATAGGTTCAATGGCTATTAGCCAGGAAGGGCAGGGATGCAAAATCATGCTTTGAAGTGTCCCTAGCCTCTGTTTGCCAGAAGCTGCGAACGGGTGCTTGGGGATGGATCACTTGATGATTACCTGTTCTGTTCATTCTCTCTGAAGCACCTGGCATTGGCCACAGTCGAAAGGCAGGATATTGGGCTAGATGGTCCATTGGTCTAACCCAGTATGGCTGTTCTTATGTTCTTAAGATCAATGTAGCCTTGTTAGTGAATTTCACTTTTATTTACACTAAATAATTAGACTAAGGAAACCTGTATTTCCATAACTATTAGTTACAGATTATGTCTAAGAAAATACAGAATCAACAAACCAGCATTTTAAAAAGATTAGATATTGTTGAGACCTGTTTTGCTTATTTCTTAAATATTGCCAACTGAAATATTGGAGAAAGTATCATTTAATGTTTCTTTTTATTCTCTCACTGGGGAGTAAAGCTGTGTGTAAGAGGCTTCCCTTTAATCTGTGGTCTTAACTGATTCATTAGTTTCCTGTATTTTATTATCATTGCTAGCAAAGAGACGTACATATTTTTCTGCCACGTTAGAGGCGGTATTTAAGACTCATGCTCTCTCCCCTGCCACACACATCCCCAAACTGCACAGGATGGATCTCAAGACAGAAAATCAGAAGTCTTGTGAATAGAATGTATTGATCACAACAGCTCTGAGACCCTGATCCAGCACAACACTTGAGCACATGCTTAAGTTTAAGTACCAGTAAGAAGTACCATTGATTTCTGAGGGTTCCTTCTGAAAAACACTGCTTAGTACTTTTTGTCTTCAACGCAATGCACAAACACTAACAAATCCTTAAAACATCCCTGTGAAATAGGACAGTAAGTACCATTCCCATTTTTCAGTTGGAAAACTGAGGCACAGATAAATTAGGAAACTTTTCTGAGGTAATGCACCGAGTCAATGGCAGAGCCAGCTATAAACCTTGAGAGTTCCTGTCTCCTCCCATTCTCATGCTCAGTCTACCACAGCATGCACTATAGTTTGTATTATTATACATCTTTGCCTTTGTGAAGCTAAGAATATTCATTCAACAACTTTCACAGGGCAAGTTGTTATTTAGGTTTTGGAACTGAGGAGCTGTTTCTGTAGCAAGTTTACCCTTTAATAATCATTTAGGAGGGAGGGGCTCTTGATGTATTTCTTGTGGAAAGAGTTGATAGATTTGATGCATAGAAAATGCGACCTATGAGCAGATGTCTTGAGCTGCTCTTTGTTTGAGGAGTTTCTGTTGTACACTGCAAAGAGTATGCATGAGAGTGTCTGAACAGTAATATTTTAAAAACAACAGAGAAAGAATAAACAAATACATTCTGGAACATGAATAATTGCTATATAATTTTCTTGGGAGAAATGTACTTATTTCTTGCAGACATCAAAAACAGCAGACGTTTAAACAGAATCAGTAAAATGTATGAAAGGTGTCCCTAGTTTTCTAACATAGTGGTGTTTATTCTCCGTTGCCAGATGTGCATGTGACTGCCCCTTAGCATTAATGAGAGTTATGTATAATCATCACGGCAATGTATATACCAGAGCCTAGGAGGAAAAATAATGGTCCCAACCTCAGACACTGATGTGCATACGCTTCATTAAATCTCTTTTAGCATGGTGTGGAAAGGGAAGGCAAATGAAAGCAGTTCTAAGAAAAAGTTACAGCTAACTGAAAGGTGGCTGTTAGTGGAAAAGAAAATGTTTATGGATGAGAATGTCCTGCAGGTGCAGATGAGGTGTTGTATGGGTAGGATACCTCTATAATTATTCACATAGGCAATGCATGTACC